CCCCCCCCCCCCCCCCACGACCCGAAAGACCGCGTTTCCGGGTGCCAGGGGCGCACCCTGAGGGGCAGGACGGAGCGTGGAGTGAGTCGGAGCTTCAGGACAGATCGCCGGGCCCGGAGGACCGCGCGCGCGGCGTCTGCCCTCCAGGTTTCGCGGTCCACTGGGTGCGGAGAGCAGAGCCCTGGGACGGCCGGGCCCTCACGTGCAGCCCAGCATCCTCCTTGCGCGCGGCTCCTCTTCCGTCCTGGTCCCGTCCAGGTCCTGGGGCTGGCCTCCAGGTGTAAATCAGGAGGCGATACTCCCCAGCTCACTCCCCTGGTCCTGGCCTCGCCTTTCTGCCGCCTTAATTATGGTTGTGGCCCCATAATGAACCCCTTCCTGGCCGCCTGCCTCCTCCCCCCCTCCGTCACTACCCCCCACAGCTTTTTTCCCGTTCCCTTCGCCCCGAGCTGCAACTGTTGATTTCCTGTACAGAGTCTTTCCGGATAAAGAGGTTGGACGAAGGAGAAGTTGGGTGCTGGGCGCTGGGTGGGAAAGGATACACGATCTTTCTCTGGGCCTGAAAAGGCCTCTTTTGTCGACGGCGGGAGGGAGAAGAGAAAAGATGAAATCTATTCTGCCTTCTTTGACGTCCCCAAGGACTCAGGGATGGGGAGCAGATGCCTCTTAGAGAGGCTGGTTTTGTGTTCGGGTAGCAGTGGCCCCTGGGGTGCGTGGGTAGTTGACGTCTAGTGAGTTGGGTGGCAGATCCCGGAGAAAGGCAGGCGCCTGCCCTGCCACACACACGCACTTCGAGAACAGGTCTCTGCGAAGCCTCGTCTTGTTCACGTTGATTGGGTGTGAGAAGTCGGTGCTGCGATGTTTATACCAACCTTTCAAGCGCTTGTTGTTTTTATATTAAAATTTAATTTTGTCCGACGTATGAGAGCCGGCAAGGGGAAACGATGTTTGCCTAAGGACAGACTCTCTTCTCTAAACCAGAATCTTGCTTCACCTTCTCCTTTATCTTTCTTTCTTTTTTTAATGTTAAAAAACCAGATGGTGTGGGGCTGGCCCCGTGGCCGAGTGGTTAAGTTCATGCGCTCCGCTGCAGGCCGCCCAGGGTTTCGTTGGTTCGAATCCTGGGTGCGGACATGGCACTGCTCATCAAACCACGCCGAGGCAGCGTCCCACATGCCACAACTAGAAGGACCCACAACAAAATATACAACTATGTACCGGGGGGCTTTGGGGAGAAAAAGGAAAAAAAAAAAAACAACCAGATGGTGTGTTTTAAAGCATAGAAGGAAGAGGAGTCATTGTAGGTCTAGGGTCAGTTCCTGGGGGGGGGGGGGACATACTTGTCTGTAAACATCTCGAACATTCTTCAGCTCATTTTTTTCTCTGTTTGAAATTTCATAAAGAGGTATTTGGGACAAAGAGGTATTTCTCTAATCCAGACACCCATGGGAGGATTAGATGTAAGACTACTAGTTCTTTATAAAGTAGTGAAAATCAGTTTTAAGAATTATTTTTCTTCCAACAGGTAAGGAGTCTTGATTTGGTCAGAGGAAGGGTCTATCAGATAGGGAGGCTGTTTTGAGCCATGAGTGAATACTTGAGAGGGAAGTACTCTGAAGCACGAGTGCCTCTAACTTGCTGGTTTGTTTGCCTGAGGCCGAGGTGCTCAGAGGTGGTGGCAGAAAGAGGAAAGGAAACGTCCTTGTGCCTGCTCTGCTTCTCTCTTAGGCAGCGCAGGGAAGGGGGAGGGAGGCACAAGAGAATGTGACGTTCCTCTTACACTGGGAAGGGATCGAGGGGATAGCCTCATCTTAGGGTGTTACCTAAACTGCGCAAAGGCCTTGGACCAGCTGCCAGCTGCCGGCTGCAGGAGGCAAATGAGAACATTCCCTTGTCTGCTCATCCTCATCCACTATCACCTTCCCGTTTTCCTGCGGAGAGAAAGAGAGATGGTCACCAGGCAGAAACACCTTCCATCTCCTTCCTGCCAACTTACTCTCCATTCTGTTCACATCCCCACTGAGTCAGGTCCTCCTGCCTCCTTGGGGACAATATTAGTTATTTATTCTCTGTTTGCCCTTCCAAATCTTCTTCCTATCCCTACTCCCCTTGATTTTGCCCCAAGAGGCTGGCCTCAAGGGAATGCATTGACCTCAGGATACCTTGCTGGCTGCTTCCTTCTAGTTGGGTTCAGTCAGTGGGAGGCAATGGGCAGGAGGAGAGAAAGGTTGGGGTATTCATTCCTCCCATTCCCTTTTTGCTTTGCTGCATTTCTGTGACTTTCTGCAGCCTCAGCTGCCACGCTCACTGGGCTCTGGCAGTGTTGTCTGGCCAACCTCCTGTGGTTTCAGGGCTAGGGACATAAAGGGATATATTGGCTTCCCATTCTTGCTAGTCTTTGGCTGCATAAACATCCTTTATTTATTCCCTTACCCCTGCCCACACTTCTGTAAGTGGTCTCTTCATTGGAAATATTTGCTGCTGAACTCCTGACTGATACAGGGAACTTGTTTTCATTGTTCTCAGTCTCTGGCTTCAATATTCCCTTCACCACAGGTTCTTTCAAACTGTGCTCATTTTCAAGAGGACCCTCTGTTGGCCTTATGTCCATCTCTAACTGAATCTTCCTACAGATTTCCTCTAATTTTTGTGAGGCCTGAGACAAGACTATAGATGGAAGCCTGTGGCCCACCCTACTTCACTTCCCATCCTGACTCCATCCTCCATCCCCAAGGGCCATGCATCCAAGAGTGTGGACACCTGGTCCACATGTTGGCGATCCATGCACACCCCCCCCCACCCCCTCCAAACAGCCATCCCTGCTCCATGCCTCAGGTTTAGGGATGAGCACACTAGTGGCACGGTCCACCCTTGGGGAGAGAGACATAGGAAGAGGCTTGTGTACTCTTTGAAACAGGCCTGGTTCCATTTGGGCAACGAATTCCAGAGCCAAAAAGGGAGTGTATAGGCTCCAGGTGAGCATGTCCCCTTGGCCGTGTGGACGTGGGTGGAGCTGGAGGGGAGCTAGACGGGGCCCCTGTCTAGAGTTCAGGGCCCAGGCTGGTTCCTTGTTTGTCCAAGTCTAAGCATGGTTCTTCTTTCACAACCAAACTTTGGGAAAGCAGCATCTACCCTTGCTCTCTCCTAGTCTTGCCACCTCCTTGACCTTTCTCAACCTGCTGCTATCACATTGCACTGAAATGGCTCTTGTCAGTGTCACGGATGCTGTCCCTGTTGGCATAGTCAGTGGACTTCTCTTATCATACTTGGCCTGACTACAGCGTTGGTCACTGTGGGCTTCCTCCTTCTTGGCTTCATGGTGTTCTTTTTCCTTCTCAGACCGCTCCTTCCTGCTCTCTTCACAAACTCTCTTTTCTGTTTTTCCCTTCATGGTCATGTTATTCTGGGCTCTGACTATAGCTCTTCTCCCATACAGTTATTGAAATTCTACCTATTCTTTATTCTATTTCTGATGACCTACTTGCACTTCCCCAAATATGCCCTGCTCTCTCAAACCCCAGTGCCTTTGTACATTCTGATCCTTCTGGACTCTCTTCATCTGGCTAACCTCTATTTGTTGGGAAAGATTTAGTTTAAGCCTCACCTCCTCTGTGACCCTTCTCTGCAGTGTACCCTTAGGTCTATGTCCCTTGGATATTTTCTTGTAGTACCTAACACTTGCCTGTATCATTGCATATATTACCCTATATTTAGACTTGCCAGGTAAAATACTGGATACACAGTTACATCTGAATTTCAAACAAACAAGCATTATTTTTAGTATAAGTATGTCGCAAATATTGCATGGGATATACTTACACTAAAAAATTATTCATTGTTTCCCAGAAATTCAAATTTAACTGCATAGTCTGTATTTTTATTTGCTAAATCTAGCAGCTGTTCCTATTGGAGCAATTTACCTGTTTGTTTCCCCTGTGGACCATGGACTGGTTGTGGGGAGGCACTGTTGTGTCTTTGTCCCCATGCCTGGCACGTGGCAGGCATTCAGAGAATGTGAGGAATCCTTCAAGTTCGGGGAACACTCTTCTGCCTCATCTGAATGGGCCTTTCCTGGGTTAAAGTTCAGTGTGTTTAGGTCACTGGTCTCTCTTCTAACCTCTTCTAAAGTCTCGTCGTTATTAACTCTCCATTTTATACTATTTGGTTCTCTCGATGGTAACCAGATGACAAAGTGCCCAGATTTTGTCAAAAGACTGTCTAATCTTCATTTGTATCCCCTAGGCCAGTCCTCTTTGCTGACTTGAATGATTAGGTGATGACTTCTGTTGGTATTGTTGGCCATTAGTGGATATTACAAGTGAATAGGCTTGTATTTAGTCGACTAAATACTGCTTAACAGAGAGTCAAGTTCCATAGCCAGGGAACCAAGCTCGAAGTAACATATCTCTACTTACTCCTGGTCTCACAGCATTAAATGAAGTCAATGTTTAAATTTTACAGTGTGATTAATGAACGCGTTGGCAGATCCCCACCCAACGCTCACTTACGGTCTTAGACAGAAACTATGTGTGTAAATATATATGTTAATGAACTTATCACTAAGAGGAATTATGTGACCCAGAAAGCAAAAGGTTGCTGCTCTGAAAACTGGTGCTGGCCAAAGAATGGGGTTCCAGCCAATCTTTAGGTCTTAGGTACTGAGTCAGCTGACATGAGACAGAAGGCCAACCCAGGGTGTGGGGTATCGGAATTGGTTAACTCTGGCGAAGAGGAAGGCAAGGAAAGTGGGACACTCAGAGAAGATGCAGATGTCCATCTTATTACCAGGGAAAAAGAGTGTAAAACTAGAGCTACACTGTCCAGTTCAGTAGCCACTAGCCATGTGGGACTATTCAAATGCAAACTAGATAAATAAATAAAATGCACATCATTTAAATGGAAATAGAAATTAAATAAAATGTAAAAATGTAAGTAACATTTAATATCTAATTCCTCAGTCACCATAGCCACAATTCAAGACTCAATAGCCACATGTGACTAGTGGCTACCATATTGGATGGCACAGATATAGAACATTTCCATCATTGCAGGAGGTCTTTTGACAGCGTTGACTAGAGCTCCTGAATATGAGAAACTCATGCCAAGAAGCTGAGGCTGTTGGCCTGGGGCAGTTGAAACCTGGAGGGATATGACTGCCGCGTTCAATTATGCGAAGGGCTGCCAAGAGAAAGACAATATGTAGTGAGGTCTATGTTACTAGAAGGAACCAAAGAGAGGCAACTAGAGATTTTAAAACATAAATCAAGTCTTAGCGCCCCATCCTCTCCTTCAATCAATAAATATGTATTGAGGTCCCACCATGTGCCAGCAGACACTGCTCCAGGTCTGGGAACACTGGAGAGAATAAGTCAGACATAGCTTATGCCATCCCACATCTTCCCATTCCACTTGGGGTGACGTAGGAACAGCCCCTGCCCAGTTACTTAACCTTTCTCTTCCTTAGTTTTTTCAACTGCCTCATCCAAAATGGCTATAATAATACTCACCCTAAAATTTGACTGCAAAAAATGTATATTGCCCAGAACAGTGACTGGCCTACATTTATACATAAGAAAACTAGTACCCTTTCCTTTAGGAAACTAAATATCTTATTCCTATACCTGATTTTCTTTTAAATGTCAGTGAAGGACATATAAAACAATATCAATGACAACAGCCTTATGAAATAGCTATCATTAGTATCCTCACTTACCTAGAAGATGCGGAAACTTAGAGAAATTTAATAACTATGGTAGCTTTGCACTATGTCACCCTGGCTAGGCTTAACCCCATTTTTAAGAATTCATTTCTTACATCATTCCAGTTAGGGTGGGCCGCAATAGAGTCTGGAGAGATTCAGAGGGTGGAAGGAAAGCAGTAACCATTTTGTAGCTGATCAGCTGGCTCACCCCATTGGTGTGGGGCAGCAGCTGGCCCTGTAGATGCTCCACCGTCCCCAGCGCCTCTGACCCCTGCGCCAGGTATGTGTGTTTACCTCCCTGAAGAAGGGCCTTGGCTTTTGCAGGACGTCCACACCAACAAGGTCAGAGGCAGCAGGGACTGACGCGGGTTTCAGTCTGTTCTTGTGGGGTTCCAGCTTGTGTTTGTGGGTTCTAGGATGCTCTTGATGCATATGTGAGATAGGTGTGAAATATATACATATATAGATGGTCCCCGACTCACGTGGTTTGACTTAGAAGTTTTCAACTTTGTGATGATGCAAAAGTGATGTGCATTCAGTGGAAACTGTGCTTTGAATTTTGATCTTTTCCCAGGCTAATGTCTCCAGACACTGCCAAATGTCTCCGTGGGGGCCCAGATTACCCCTGGTTGAGGACCACTGGGCTGGCGGAAGGCAGGCCCTCCATTTGGAGCAATTCTTGTTCTGGGTAGGCAGGTGATCTGGGAAGAGACTGAAGAACAAAAAGACAAAGGCTCCAGAGGGGAACTTAGGGAGCGTGAGGTCTATCAGGACCTCCTGGAAGCCTTTGTCGCAAGAAGGTACAACAGTGAGGGTGACTGGAGGCAGAGCGCCCGAGGTTCATGAACCAAGGTTCCTAGGTTTTTCCTATTAAGGGGTGGGACTGAGTAGGGCTGAGTGTACGGGAGAAGATTCCTGTGGCCCCAAATTGTAGGCAAAGGAAGGCTGTGGAGTGAGGATTTTAATGGCACTGCTCATCCTGACTGCTCTCGAGAGCCTGCCACCGTGGACACGCCCAGCAATCAGTAGTTGCTGAATGAGCGTTTGTTGAACGAATGGTGAACAACCAGGCCAAGGAAGGGAATAAAGCGATGGCACTTATTTCTGAGTAAAAATATGGTATAAAACAACATTCCACTAAACCTGCGCCTGGAAGATGCTGAGCAGCAAATTTTAGATGTTTGGGCAAACGCACCAGTGTTAGGATGAAAGCAAAAGAGAGTGTCGCCTTTAGTGACAATTCATTACTGAAACCTAAAGTGTTGGCTCAGTGCCTCTTCCGCTTTTAAGTGGAAGTCCACTTTATAGGAAAACAGAGATATTCTCCTCTGGCATGACAGAAAGAAGGTTGCCTAAAAAAAAAATGAGTGGTATTTGGCAAAACTATAACTTTCCCTGTAGCTGGCTGAGTGACTGTTCGCGAGCTTCAATTCTTACTACTTATTTTGCTTTCTCTTATGTCTAAAAAGTGAATAGCTTCTTAATATACATGTTTAGTCAAAGGATGTTTCAAAGGGTTTCTCAGATTCCGAGCCTGTGGTTACAGGGGGCATTCCTGCCTCCGCCGGCTCAGAGAGACAAGCCCTATCTATGGGGTCACTGTCCTCTATTCAGATAGTGCAAAGGGAGGCACAGAAATATTTAAATTAATGAACAGCAATGCTAACAGTCATACCAAGAGCCCCAGTTTATCATCCTATGTAACTTCTGCCCCTTTCTCAAAAAACCAAGCACCACAATGGCTCTGTGTTGCTTTTTAAAAATAAAGCTTCCATTGTTTTCTTCCTCTCTCATCTTCAGCGCAGAGCTGTTCGCAAATCCATATTTTTTTTCTGCCACCATTCAAGACATTTTTGGCATCGGTTATGTCCAATAAGTGGCATAAAACATGAAGGGAGCGGGGACTGCTGTGCTTGCCGCTATTCACATGTTGCCTGTTAATCTAATTACCAAGGTGGGGGCTCCAGAAACCGAGCTGCCCACATAGAAAAGCCTTTCCCCCACCTGGTGAGTTGTTTAGCCAAGCCTTTTAAATGGGCAGAGTTTGATGGGGGGTGGGGGGGCGTGTGGGGAGAGAAGTGAGTCTTTTTTTTTTTTTTAAGTTTCTATGCAGAGCAATGGGAAGAATTTAGTGGTTGTCAACATGAGTTTAGTACAAAGGTATGGTTTAAAATGTACGTTCAGGTCACGCCAGCCCAGGGAAACCTGTGCCGCTATTTGTTTTTTGTGTGCTTTAAAAAGAGTTCATAAGACATAAGGGAGGGAGATGAAGCGGAGGGGGAGAGCGTCCCAAGGGGACGGCGTCCACTGAAGGGTGGGTATTTCAGGGGTGTTATTCCAGAGGGTCTTAGTGACTGACTGTGAAAGGGCAGCTTTGAATGAACAGCCCCAGCCAGGCTTGATTTTCAACTGTTTTTTAGTCCTTGATTCCTACAAAAAAATAAAATACCTTGTCGAATAGAGCCCATTGAGTGAGGATGATGGGTGAAGAGTGGGGAACGAGGTGGCAGCGTGGGTGCTTGTTTATCAAGGAGGAGTTGTCTGTTGTTCCTGGAGCCGGTGAAAGGAAAGACGCCAGAATCTGATGGCTGGGGTAGCGTTGATGTGAGGTACGGGGTAATCGGATTGAAAGGGAGCCATAGTATTTATGTCAGTTCACATCTCGTCAAAGGAATAATATGAGGTGCTACCTAGCTGAGGCTTTGGCCTAGGGGTTCAGTTAGCGAGCATCCAGGCCTCATTGGATTCCAATATAAATTAATTCTCACAGGAGCATTGCCTGATTAATCTATTTGCATAATAGTAGAAAAACTGCAGAGTGGTTACTTTTTTTTTCTTCTGTAGGGATTTGGACAAGAAAAGGTTTAAATTCATTTGAAAGAAGGGTGTGTGAGAAGTCAGAGCGGCAGAGCCCCCTCTGGGGCTCCCGGAGCCGTTTTCTGGAGAGAGAAGGGTTGGAGTCGAGGCAAGGTCCCGTTCACTCAAGAAGTTTAACTCTTCCGGGGAAAAACCCCCTTTTTCAAGGCCCTTTCCTGGCACCTGCAGCAGGGGGTTTAGCTCTGGGCTCAGACGGTGAATCAGGTTCAGAGGACAGAGCATCCCCGCACGTGAAATATCCCCCTTGGTTCAGGTTTTGGTCAAAGAACATTAGAGTTTCAGAAA